GAAGCCAAGCAAATATATACAGAGAATTCCCAAAACTGCTGAAAACAAAGGAACTGTCACATCCAGCAAGTGAGGTGGTAGAGTTAGGAGAGGAGTGGTTTTAGAGATGAATGATAATCTCAGCTTAAAGTATTCCGCTTCCTTTGAACATAAGTTTTCTTAATTAGCAAAAGGATAAAGCAGATTTGCAACAATTTTTACCTTTGCTGCACTGGATTTTACCAAATCCAACTCTCCTTCCAAAGCCGCATCTAACATCAGTGCAAGCGGGTCGAACTCGATTCTCCGTCGTTCCTTTTTCAAGCCCAAAGGACGCAATATTCCTTTTACAGTCCGACGATCAACTTCAATCTGAGAGACAAACATGAATGTCTTTTAACCTATATGCTTTCTATCAAACTCTCACTTCTAGTGGCTCATCATCGCTTTTGACCACTGACTCATCATCAGTTGCAGCAGTTCTTTCTGATTCAGAAGAGGTTTCCTTCTCGTTTTCGGTGACTTCTGCCTGCAAAACCTCAACTTTCCTTGCATGCCACATTAGCGCAACTCGCTGAAAAAAACACACACTTTTGGCTCTTCGTGCGAAGTGGGCAGTTCTGGAATGAAATGATTTTTTCCTCTCCGTTGCTCTTCAAGGATGCGCCGGATTGTATCAGCTTCTGACAAGGTCGTACCTTCAGAAGCAGCCCAAGACCTTAAATTGCTTCCTTCTTTCAATGAGAAGAACATCATCAATTTTGATTATAGCGAGTCTACCTCCGCTTAGCTGCTTTGAGAGAATCAGTTCTGATTGACACGAGGTCGGTCTTCCCACTTCGAAGTTTCGATTCGTCTAAACTGTCAGCGAACGATTGAAGGGTTATCTGAAGGTGAAAGTAGCATGAGATGTCTTTTCAAAGTGAACACTGTCAAATAGAAGTCTTACATACCATTTCCCTCATTCCCAGTGGCTTATCCAAGACGTCGATCTTGGAGGCAGAGACTTCTTCCAAGGTGGGATGAGGATCCTTGGGTGGTGATGGACTGATTTCAGAGCGATTGCTTGGAGCAGAGGTGTTCAATTCTGGTAAAGGAGAAGTTTTCAACATGGGAGCTGTTTCTACTGGTTCAGCAGGTGGAGATGGCACTGATTTCGGCGAGTCTTCGCTGAAAAGAAAGAACTTTTAAAAAGTTCAGAAGATGTAAAAGATGCCCAAAATGATCAAAACTTCGTTCAAAAACACGAAAAAAGGGAATTAAGGAAGAAAGAACATTCTCGTCAAACCTTTAAGTA